CTCATGCTGGTCCTCCTGCAGCGCGCATGCGCAATCGCAGCTCCTGGACAGAGCAGGAAGCACTTCTCGACATATCTGTGTCAAGAGAACTTGAAGTTTCTCCTGGTACAAGCGGTGGCCGAGATCCTCATCGCCCTCGCACTGCTGGGTGAATCGCTGGTTCGGCCAGCGGAGCAAATTCCTTAAAGCTTGACTAAACGTGCTTGTCCATCCATGAGTGTTGACACCCAGCAATCGGCCGATAATGAAGGGCATCTAAAGAGCTTGCCATCAGTGCCTTTCGAAATCGCTGCAGCGAATGCCTTTGCCTTTCCGCCGCAGGCTTCCTCAAACCACTGGCGCACCTCAGCCATCAACATCTCGCCAGTAGCTGTTCCTTTTGCTGCAGCATCTCCCTCCAATTTCAAATCCTGCCTCTGCCTCGGACCAGGTCTTCGGATGAGCTTGAGCTTCCTCTGCAGGGAAATCAGGTCAGGACAGCTGCGGTAAAACGTGCATGGTGCGTCGAGTCCAGCCAAGCCAGGATGGAGCCAAGGATCCACTTCCTGCTTCGGCTTGAGTATGTCTTCTCTTTCCTCGAAACTCATCTGGGTACCCTGGAGTTGCTGCAGGGCACGGAGTGTTCCGATTGAGTGCTCCGTGTCTTTCGCTGATGGGCTCACTGTGCCAATCGCCACCACCATGGCTTGCTCGCTGGCGAAACTGTCGGAGAGCACCTCGGATTGCAGCTGACGCTGTGATTTCGGCGACTCAGGCGACTCAAGACGGTTTGGGATCTCTCAGAGGCTTACACGGTCTACAGCCGAATGGCCCGCGTCAGTAAGCTCTCCCTGTATGGTGGCTGACCCCTGGAGGAGCGCATAACCCGGAAGCATTCTTTCAGTGCGAAGATGGTCGAGTTGATCTCTGCCGCATCTTTCCGGCTGCCTGAGGTTCTTGCCAACTCACCACAAGACTTGCTAGAAATACATGGTCAGGATGCTCGGACGGCTAGATGAGGAAAGGGTGTACTTCTATCCGGAAGGGTTCAACCTCCGATATCAAATCTCCTCATCCACGGGGTTCCCAGGATGCAGCCAATGATTAAACCCTTGCAATGAAAGGAAGCGGCTGCTCCCGTAGAAAGCTTGCATGCCGCTATGGTGCGAGCATCATGCTGCGTGGTGTCTTCTCTGCGCTCACTGCCTGCACAATCCACCAGGGTGAGTGTAGTGGCACCGTCCTTGGTTTTTGCCTCACGCGAGATTCGGAAGACTGCGTGAGAGCGAGAAGATGTCTCGTTGACTTGCGTGGCTCTGGTAGCTCTGTGCGCCTGCGCATCTCTAAGAACGCGAAGGAGATCGGTGCCGCTTGATACATCATGCGTTTGAAGTCCTAGAATCTGTGTCTTGCCACTCTTGTCTTCACGAATTTTGAGCTCTTTCGGATTGGTGTCGAGAAGATCACGCATGACTTTGCCTGCTATCTCGAAGGCAGTCAAAGTGACCGTGCTTTCCTGCTGGAAAATGTGCGCCGAAGCTCTTTGCAGAAGCCCACTCATGGTGTGAGTCTTCCCACTCCCCGTCTGTCCAAACATGAAGAGTGCAGCAATGTTGCCATCCAAGACATGCTGAACTGCAGCCCCTGCACAATGCTCGTAGACATCATCGTCGGACACCGACTCGTGAAATGCGTTTGTGAACTGAAAGCCCATATGAGACACAAACAACGAACGTAGGTCAGCTTTGGTCAAGCAGTTGTGGATGATGACCTTTCGACCGGTCACGGTTGTAACGTCAAACTCGTCTGCCTCCTCCTCATGTGGGAAAAGGGGACGCTTTCTGACGTACACTCGGACCCGACAAGGCTCGGGTGCTGGGCAGTCCTCTTTTGGATATCGTTCACACCAAGACTTAATGTGCTGCTCGTACACACACTTGTGCCTCTTCCGAAGCTCTCGCTTGTCAAACATTTGTCTGGTGGCATCCTCGGATTCCGACTCCTTGCCTTTTGCTTCCGCAGCGAGTCGAGCAGACTTGGTGCGTCGTATGATGGCAGTGTCGTCCATGGCTTTGGGCTTCTCGACCTCTGCCTTCTCTCTCCGGGTTGCTGTGCTTAGTTGGTGCAGCTTCCCATCGCTGATGTCTTCCATGACCAAGGACCGCCGCCGTTCAGGCACTTCACTGAATGAAACAACCGGATCGCGACTCGGAACCTCCGCCAAATTGAGGTTCTCTCCATTGAGAGCCGCTGTCCCTGTTTCGACTGGCATCTTGGATGTCCCTTGATTGCGAAAGGCAGGCTTCTGCCGCCCTGATGCTCCGTTGCTTGAGGCTCGGTGCTGTGCGGCCTTGGGGGTAGGTGCTACTTTTGCAACTTTCCGTTCGGAAGTGCGTGGTGCCGGGACGGCGATCTTTTGCCCGCCTTGGTCTAGATTCAGATTGCTGGTGAGAAACTTGGGCTTGAGGTTTGTTGTCCCTCGCGGTGCAGGATTAAACTGCAACCCATTTCGGGACAGTGGCTGTGTCTGTGCGGCAGTCGGTGTGGGCTTGGAATCCTTGGATCGTGTGACGGAAGGCCGTCGCCTTTGGCATGGCCCTGGCTTCGGAGAAATTGATGCAGCCTTCAGCACAACTCCGGTCTTGCGATAGTGTTCGAAGCGTTGCACTTCATTTCGCAAGTCTTGATACAGGGCTGCAGCAAGGTTGTTGTCGCCTTTGCACATCTGCTCAAAGCGGTTCACATTCCACCGCATGATGTTGCGACCATCTGTTCCCTTTGAAAGCGGTTCCACCTCTTTGGTTCGCTTCGTTCTCTTGTCCCACCAGTCGCGGACTTGCTCTTCAGTCCACTTCTGCGGATGTATGACAGAGGATACTCCCACGGCACCAGGCAACAACGCAGGCGTAAATTCACCGATCTCCTCATGCACTCAACAGCTCCAAACTCCAGCCGTCAGGAGGTTTAGGACTTGGAACGGACTTAGCTGCCTCAGGCCTTATGGCTTTATGCGTGTTCTTATATTGCCGGCATTGCCGGCCCTATGCTTCTCGACCGGCGCTTTTTTGGCATGTCCTCACCGGAGTCAGGCAGCGGCGAGTCTGCTACCGGCAGCTCCACAATCTCATCTCGGCGGGGTGGATGTGGCATCCCAACAGGCCCTACAAGGCTAGCTCAAGTCTAATCAAGTATTCCAACCAGCTCTTTGTGGCTCTTTGCTCGCGTTCCTCGTCTGGATTCGTCTGGTCGCAACTGCATGAAACAGGACTCCTGGTTGTTGCCACGTCGTGTTCACAAAACTTACGGTGCAACTTATCGCGCGGCATCTGTCGTATGTTGAAGCTGAAACACAGCATTCCCAAGGATGCAAATCCATCACGCACAGTCTTCTTGCTTCAGCAAACTTCTCTACTCGGGCCGGGACTAGCTCCAAGGTCTTGAGCAGCGGACTGGCCTGGGCCCCATGCTGCGTGAGCACTGATGTAGTCGTAGCACAGCTATGCTCTTGGTGGCCAACCGCAATTGGGAAGGAAAGCTTGCGGATCCGATTATGCTTGGCCTGCCACCGCAGCAGGATTGTTCAAGGCCAAGGGCTTTGAAAGTGCCTGTGGCCTGGCCTGGAGCCGTTCCAAGGAAGGCAAGAAGCCAAGGAAGCCCAAGTGCTCGAGCAAGTTGTTATCGACCTGCGAAGGCCGCCGTGGCCGGGGCTGTGGCATTTCAAAGCAGAAGTAAAGTCCAAACCTTGTCTCTCTCTCAGGCAGACACAAACAGCACGAGCCTCTCCTTTTATCCTTGCCTACTTGGTAGTGCAAGACTGCAAGATCTTCGTTCCAAACGCTGGCCAGAAGCAGTACTTCTGCCCTCTGCTGCATCGTCGAAATCGTTCGCAATTATAGGGCAATTTCTCGTGGAAACATGAGAAGTCTGGCATGGCAGCAAGGTGCAACAAAGTGTTGTACGGTCTGCAGACGTTTGAAGTCGACATTGAGCAGATTAGAAAATGACCACAGCGTCTGCTCCGCTACGTGAGTCTTGTGGCGGCTGCATTAACTCCATGACGGGACGAGCTGCACATTGGCAGTTCAAACTGTCGCTGCCGACGTTTGCCAGCAAACAACCAACCCACTCTCAGCAGGTGTCATGTACAATGCCGGCAGGCTTCACCGACCATTGAATTGCTACCACTCAGTTAATGCTTCATCGTCCTCCGCCTAATCGACTTCCGTGTCGCCGGGTTCTTACGTTGGAAAAAATACTGTCTCCACTTGCCAGTGATAGGGTTTTAGAGTCTAGAGTCTCGGCATGTCTCGGCCAGAGAACACAACAGTCACAGTGGTCCAGAACGCCCAGCGTTGAATCGCAACACTTACAGGAATCCTTGTGCAAGTGCGAGGCTGTACTTTGAAGCGCTAGCAAGTGCTGATAGGGTTATGCGTAGTGCGCCCCCCTCATGGCTATGCAATCATTTGCCATCTGGTTGATCACTCGAGGAACTTGTGTGGGAAATGCTTGGTTCACTGTCGAGGGAGCTCCGTCGACAGTAAAAATGCTGTGTGTCACCATAACTGTTATGCCAACACGGCCCGACACCGTACTTCACTTGCGAGGTCTGAAACCTGTTGTCGACAGAACCAGCAAGACGACCGGAGAAGTTTCGCCCTACTTGTTGCGCTGGAAGCAATCACTTCTGGGCACAAACATGCAGGCAAACGCAGGAAGAAGGGATGTACCGCGAGATTCTGATCGCCTACACGTTGTCGAAGTGCCATAGCCAAACATGTAGCGGATTGTTATCGACGTGCTTGCAGAGACAACTGTCACTAGATTGACCATGGCTGTTGTCGAGGATGGCAGACAGGGACCTTGACAAAACTCGTGAAGCATGACATGAAAACGCAAAGATGGCTTAAGCAATGTTTGGGTTGGGCGGGTTCGACAGGCTGGATCGGGGAAGGCTGGGTTGGGTGTGTGGCCGGGCAGAAGATTCTGGGAGCACAGCATTCCACTGAGACGAAGAGGAACTACACACACTGCACCTGGTTGACGCAAGTTCTGCTGGGGTGCTCCAACCACAAAGAGATGACAACCGTGGCGACAGGGAGATGTTTGGCACGAAGGCACGGACAGTGTTCGTGTGTTCCCATGCAGACCTGTCCAACGAAACAGGCAAGCGACCGGATCGCGGCAAGCCCACTTGATTCAGAGCTCTCCAGCGTCATCTTGTTGATGATGTCGGGGTCTTAGCTTCAGTACTGCAGGCATGATTGCTTTGCTATGGGTCATGCGTGTCTCCGCTCGAAGGCTACTCTGCTTAGGAGCCGGCCCCAAGGCATATCAGAGGCCTCACCTTTGCCTTGACAAGCTCAGGTGAAGGCATGGTGCGACAAGTAGAAGCTCTGCAGCCGAGTTGCTCTCCATGGAGTTTAGCTCAGCTACAAAGGCAAAGACGAACCGCCTGCACAAAGTCCAAGCAAGCGTATCCCCATCATGGTGCGATGAAACAGCTCACAGCTCCTGCAAAGGACGTAAGAGCTTTGGCTCATCCGCATGACGTTGCCAAAGCCTTGCGACCTTCCGCCGAATGTCGAGCAACGGACAGCGAGAGTCTGAAGGATTGCTGAGGCCATGGCGACAACAACAACAAAACGGTGGGCTGGGAAGAAATCACAAGCCTCATGCTTCCAGAACTCTTGATGCCTCGTATTGTGCTTTGCGCCTTTATCTCAGGAGTGCACAATCCACGATGACTCCACTGGGTCCACAAGGAAGCTTCAGCCATCCAATCCCCTTCGTGCAGCTCCTCTGCATGGTGTGAAGCCAAGTGGACAATGGTTCAAACGGCTCTGTGGCAGAAGGTGCACAGATCTACGGCGGGCGATGCGAATGCCGTCCAAATACCCAATGCGGCACAGCGCAGTGCATGCCTCACATCGCTGCATCTTTGTGACCTGGTATGCATACTTGGCGGTTCCACCTGAGTGCGCTGTGGACGGCAGTCTTGTAGAGTCTTCGGTGACTTTCGATACACACGGATTAAGTATCTGAACAGACGAATTGTTGATGGTTCCGTGGCCGTCGGGTCCGGGCCGCCAAGTCTACAGTGAGCCTGTGGTCAAACAGAACTCTTCCGCCTCCGTGGCCTTGGGTGTCCTTCACCGTTCTTGCAGGACATAAACTGACATAGATGATGTTAAGCTCTGTCTCTGCTGCTTATGTCTGCTAAGGCATCCACTGTATGGATCTTCTATGCCCACTCCGGGCTCAACTAAAGCAATGGCTGCAAGGAGCACCGGCACTGTCTCAGGCTTCGGCTGGTAATGAAATACATGTGCTCACCCAGGTCGCCTTTGCAAGAAGAACTGAAATCAGCACGGGACAGGTTCGGGAGAGACGAGTTCCGGAATCCGATTGGTACGGGCTTGCGCATTGTCTCCCTGGACCCCGCTGCACCGCTGTGCATCCTCCCGTCAGCCTTCAAAACTGCGAAATCGTCGCACAAGGAGCCAATGGCCGGGACCGTGCTTACATTTTCTAATGACTTTACATACATGCACACACAGAGAATGACAGGATGTATGCATTTTGTACGTCAGCCAGCAACTTCCATTCGCGTTGTGTTGTATTGTGTTGTAGTGTACTGTATTGTATCATATCGAACCATATCGCATGGTATGGTATTGCATGTACCCAAGTATGTATCAAATTTCCACATGTGTCTGTGTGTGTTGTGAGGTCTTGTCGTAGGTGCGTGTGTGTGTGTATATATATAATTATGTAATATGTACAATCAGCATGTCATGCCCACACATGTTGTCGTGTAGTGCACGGTGTTGTATGTGTGTATATAGTCTATATATATATGTATATGTATATATGTACCGTACGTTCAAGTGCAGAAAGCTATGGCACAAAGGTTCACGAGTCCCCTCTCGAAAGTCTGCTCCGGACTCTGAGTCCCAGAGCAGCTGAAGGATCCCGCCACTGTCCGAAGAAGACTAACCCGTCTGTATGCCGCAGAGCGTCCTGCTCGAAAAATGCAGTCTTGAAGTGCGAACTGCACCTGCATTGTGCCACACGCAGCTCTCGGATCGACGATTTGCACCCTTGCAACAATGCCGCACGATAGCTTTGCCTGTGTTAGCGTGGCCGCACACAGCTTGACCTGGTTGCTCACTGACGGAACTGGAGCTCGACTTGCAGCAGAGGCAAAAAAAATTGAATGTCGGTGTCGATAGCCCGCAAGGCTATAAAGTATAAAGCCGAGAACATCCAGAAAAGGAGCAGGATACCTCCCTGTCTCCCTTTCCTATGCTCGATGGTTTGCGGCACCAGAGTCTAGGGTGGACAGGACACGCTGTTGCGACGTTGGTTGCATGCGCACTCGTCACGACTGCATCACAACTCAGAAGCAGAGAAGTCGATAAGCTGATTATTGGCGTTGTCCGCCTGGTCTTGGTCTAGCCATATTAAGCCTTTGGTGGGACTTGCCTGCTGTCGTTTCTTGATGATGTTGCAACCGCCGCATATCACACGGCAGTTCACCTTCCTTAGGAGGAGCACCGCATGAGCGCCATGAAAACCCTAATCAGTGAATCGCGCATGTCTATGACTCCCTGAATGCCCAATGGGCTGCTAGTAAAACCTTCAGACTGTGCGGCATTGCTGCACGGCCCGCCAACGGCCGTCTGTGCCCCGTGCCCATTTTATGCTGCCTACAAGTTTCTGGGAGAAAAAAATCGCTGCTACCACACGTTGTAGACTGGTGCTTCGATGGGCAGGCCCGAGACCCATGTCTCTCGTGAAGTAGTTCTTCGCTTGTGTGGATATGACTGAGCACGAGACCATCAATGAATGAACGCACTCACCCAGGTAGTGGAAGAAGGGGTGGAGCATGACCTGGTGGCAGCATATGTCGAGTGCATATGTGGATTGTCAGGCAATTGAATGTCTGCGAAGGCTGAGCCGAGAGCAGTCTCTTTGTGGACTTCATACTCCAGAAGCTCTTTGAGGGGCTGGGACAGCTTCCCCAGAAGGGAAACGTCACTGGACTTCACGGTTTTTGCCTGGCCAAAACACAGCACTGCCTTAGCCGAAAGAAGTTGTCTAGTGGCTCAGCTTGCCTGGAGCATGACGACGTGCTCCAAGAACTTGATGATCCGGACTCGAGATTGTGTTGTGACCTCTCGCGAACAATTGCATCAAACATTGCAGATCGCACGATGCAGCTGTGATATAGCTGCATCTGTTTGCAAACACCAGCGCACCTGCTTTCGCCGTAGATATCTACGGAGGAGCCAAAACTGCTTCTTCGAGTCTCCCTGCCAATGTGGACACAGGCTTAGTTTTGATTCCATGCTGCCTGGAAGCAATCTTAGTCAGCACCTGCAGATTCCTCAAAGCTGTCATAGATGCGCTGACCTTTGCATGTGATCGGCAAGTGATTCAACACAACAGCACCAATTGAGCCTTGAGATTGCAGCAGGATTGGGACATTCTGTACAAACCGTTCGAGACTGTGCGCTGTCAGCGCCTGTTTGACCGTCATGTAGGCAAGGAGCACTGGCAAGGACTGAAGAGAAGATGATGACCGCAAAGCCGAGAACGATGACGGACATGATGCGTTCTGGGACATTCCGTGCGAATACGTCCATGCCTGCCAGAAGGGTAATAAATGTGTTACGACGTCTTTTGCTTTTGCCGCAGCTTTATGCCACAAGCTCCCGACCTCATACTTGCTTGAAGTAACTTCGTGGAGATCGCAGGTTCCAACTACTACAGTTGCTTTTGCTTGAAGGCTGCCGGGGCCTCTGCTAGCACATGCTGTAAACTGTCGCACAGATTAAAACGGGACGAAATGAAGGTGCCTGCTGGAGTGAACTGCGTCAGACTCCAATGCAAAGCGGTGGTGTACTGCCATGCAATGGAACCTTCGATCACCTCAGTCTTCGCAACAGTTTTCAGCACGGATTGGCTTCATCAATGTCCCGTTGCAGCAAACCAGCTACAGCTAGGCACCTTTGTGTACCCAGTATATTCAAGCCAGTTATAATCGCGAGCTTCGTAGCCTGGGCGCGGGGGACAGCCACGGCACCAAAGAAATCAAAGCTCGCACTTCAAGCGTCTCGTGCCTATGTAGCCCAGGAGGTACCACAAACATGCGATAACGTGATTCAGAACCTGAGCGAACAAATCGGTGTCTCCAGAGGCAAGAAGCAGGTGGCATCACTCCGCTGCAGGATCTACTGGGTCAACTGGCGACAAGCAGCCACAATGAACAGCAGCAGCCGGAGTATATCCATTACAATGAACAGGTATTCGGAATCAATGAAATCCTCAGATGTCAGCACGACTGGAGTCTCAGATTCGTGTCCTCTCAAGATTCTCTGTGCGAAGAGGCCGCATACAACTTGTTCATCATCTTTTGGAGCTTCAATAAGCGAAGCCTCCCGGAGCATGTAAAGAGGTGGGAGCAGTGTTTATGCCTTTCAACTGTTGATCGTCGAGCACCCTGCAAGCATACGAAATTCGACTGTAGCACAAACGGACCGATTTATAGATCCTGCGGGAAGAGGCACATCAGCCATGATGCCTTTCCAAGCGACTGGATATGACAATCGAGCATGACAAACACAGATTCGAGTTTGAGGACAGGCTCGTCAGCGGGTGCGCTCGTGCACATAAGCGCGGCTGCCAAACTTCCTCTATTCCCTTTGCACACTGCCGACCAAGAAACAGGCGAATGACACGAATGGCACGTGCAGATCGAAGGATTCGCCCAAGGCTTGCCAAATAGCCCTGCAGCAGCCGCGCGAGGGAAGGCCACAAGGCAAGTCGCTCACTTTACACTGCTGTCCACTGCTGACCGAGAGGCCGAGCTGCTGTCCTCCACAACACTGTAGCAAAATCAAGAAATCAGGAACTGTCTAGCACTTGCCGAGTCGTGTGCGTAGAAACATTGTGCAGGTGCAGCTGTCATGCCACAAATGCTGCCTTGGACGAAAGCTCTACAGTGGACGGGGTGGCGGAGAGACGACTCGGAGAGACAGACATGCACAGACACACGCATGCGGACAGACATGCATAAACAAAGACACACATACACACATACATACACTTTACCAGTACACAGAGACAACCATGCAGGCATGGACACACGGAGAAAAGGACTTCAAGCAGCAGCACCTTGAGCAGCATCTGAAGGAATCAGAAGGAACGCTGGGGCCAGCATCAGAAGCATCAGAGAAGGGACCCGTTTCTCGTGCCGGAGCCCTGCCCCACCGGACCTCCATAGTATTCAAGGCTGACGTTGTGAGGTATGGAACGAAGCTCCCCTCTTCGGAGCTTCGTGACGACTCGTCTGACAAGCGCTGATGCACCAAGAATGCTTCGCACCCATCCGTCGATCTTGCAACCTACATCTGTCTGTGTGTGTGTATAAATATATAAGTATTCATATAACATATTTACACAAATTTGATACCAATGCTGAAATCACCGTCTAGGAATCGCAAGACTGCCAACCAAAACAGGGCTTCGACATTTAGACTCGAGACTCGCAGGCGATCGTGTGCCCTAGCTCTCGCATCCAACTTGGACATTCACCTGGGATCTGGAAAAAGATGCTACATGGAAAAACAAATCGAAGCCTTGTGCTCACTCCGTTCGGTTCAGCTGGTCAAGCCCGTGCACTCCTGCGCCAGCCTTGTAAACCAATCAGGTATCACCACCACTGCATCCAGCACAAACCAAGTTCGCAAGTATCCTCAGCATGTAACGATGCCAAGCGAGCTGCGACGGATCACCGTGATTATGCCAACTCAATGCAGTCTTTAAGATGTGAACTTGCAGAATAGCGGCTCAGCGTAATGCGATACTGCTGCATCACGAGTTCAGGTCCGCTAAAATAGCCAACGATATTGCTCACAACCTGAGCTCACGCTTTCGCGAACAACCCCCAAAGTATCCGAAGGCAGCTCAGGTGCCATGTCAGTGGTCCAGAAGCACAGCGTTATCCAACCCATACTTTCGGTGAAGACATCCTGCGTCAGTAGCCATGTGGAGCTTGCACCCTTCTCTGAGACCACGAGAACCGGCAGCACAGTAGCAGCACCGTCTACACTGTCACAGTGACGATTGGTCGTCGAGGCAAGGCAGATGCCATCTATCCCGCCGGCTTCCTCGTCTAGCGGAAAAGCTTGCAAGGGGATAGCGAAAACGTCGTAGGCAATGAGCAATAAACCTCGCAAGATGCGGAATCGTAGTGGAAAGGTAGAAACATGGGGAAACGGGATCAACACGTCTTGCTCCTCCTAAGGCCTGGACCCAAGATGTCCCAGGCAAGCGCAATTTCCGAGTTTGGACCTGAGAGCGAGTACGAGCTCTGATGAAGTATTCCTCGCACACGAGTTTCCCAGGGTCAGCACTCATAGGAAGCCTCCGGGAATTGCAGGTGTAACAGCACGGAGCATTTCGGAGAAAGAGGCTTGATCGGAAAGATTCCTCCAAGTGAGCAGCATCTGGCCTGAGCTGGCTCAAGGTGTTGACAAAGAGGTCGTAGCAGCTCATCCGCCGATCTTGGCCCAAAGGTTGCATCTCCACCGCTTCGGAAAAGCGGCGCAGGTCTTGAACCAAGGTGGCCTCCAGAGACAAATGACATTGACGGACGGATTTTCCTAGCCCAGGTCTTGCCTTGAACTGTCGCTCGGTTGCCTTATCCAGCGGTGTGCTTAAGAACCTGAAAGGACAAAGCATAGTCGAGCCCGATCATATGTCCGATGCAAGCAGTCGAATTCAACTTTGCACACATCTAAATGAGCTGCAGGCTGAGGCAGTACTTGGTACCGGTCTGAGTTGAACGACGACCTCAAAGGAGTCTGGGATCAATGATCAATGCTCGGACTGCTTGACGAACATTTCAAAACACCGAGTTCAAAACGATTTTTTGCTTTCGAGTTCATCCTGGTCAAACGCAAAAGACATTGAACAGCTGACATCCACCCTCTGGCGCTTCTAGCGGTTCTCTCTGCACGGAAGGCAGGAACTCTTAGGAAGACATCTCGATAACCTCCAATGTAAACCCCACGCACGGTCCGCACCTGCGCCTGACGACGTGCTCTTGCAGGCTCCGATTTGGCGCGCTCCACGAAGCCCTTAGGCTCAGTTTTGTGGGAAACCAGCTCGATGTCCGATGGATGCGCAAGCAGCAACTGCGAAAGCTATGCAGCGACTACAGTCCCGCAAAGGAACTTTGCAAAGGCTTTTGTTCACGGCTTGGGGCCTACATGCCAATTGATGTTCTCTCTGAGGGCTCTCATGCAGTCTCGCAGGATCGAGAACTTGGTAAGTCGTCACTGACTTCCTCTGAGCTGGCAGCTGATGCATGCGAGCCAACCTAAGGCAGAGTCTCGGAGCGATCGGCTCACAAAAGGACTTTCCCAGTGCCTGCTGCATGGAATGCTCTTCCCCGCCGGAATCTTCATCCGAATCCCAGTCCAGCGGAGTATCCTCAGAGTGGAGGCCCTTGGGCTGCACGTCTCCATGACTAGAATTAAAGTAGTGTGCTGTCACCTGATGAGACTTTGGATTTGGGGTGTGTGGAGAATTCTTCAATTTTCGCTTTGGGCTTGATTACGTCGGTGTGCTCTCGCCAGCACCACCCCCCTCCTCTGCTCTTCCCCCTCAATGCACGGCATTCGGCTTGAATCTGAGCCGACACACGACCCGGTCTCATGCCAAAACCATGCGTTTATCCGCGCGGTCGTCCAAGGTGACATTGAAGCCCTCAAGCTTCTATCTTTGTGTGGAATATGTGGAATGCACATCCGAATTCCGAGGGTAGCTCTACCAGCACATAGTCCGCAGCATCGACCATCAGGTCGCTGAAGTGAAAACGTCGCTGTCACATCCTACACGGACTGCGTGCCATCGAACAAAGGCTCCGGCCAGATCTAGGCCAAGCTCTTCTCGCAAGCGGATGTTCTCTTGAACCTTTGCGTGGTCACGAAAGGCCGAACTCCTGTGCTGGGAGCCTCTCGCGAGCTGGGAATCCCGGCAAGCGGTTTCAAGCCGTTACTATACACCTGTCGTCAGTTGCAGCAGCCGGTCTTGGACAATACGTCGCTTTCGAACACTGCAAGTGCACCTCCACCAATTTTTGAAACTTGGGGTTCTTGAACTCCTCTCAGCTCCGGCTGTGGTGCTCCAGACATCTTAGCAAAAGTCGTTGTCCTCGCCTTCACCCTTTCGGGTGTCAGAGGAGCGTCTTCCTCTCCGTGAAAATCCTCGGCCTAAGCATCATGCGGTGACTCACGCGTAACATAGGCAGGAGTCATTGAGGATCGCCCGGTCGTTGGCTGAGGTCTCGGCAGCCATCTGTCGAAATCGCTTGCTGCACGCAGCGAGGTCCAACCTGCCGATCCAGTGGCAACTGGCACTTGGCGCCATGCTTTCTCACCGACTTTCTCGTCAGTATCAGAATAGCCGGCAGGGAACAATCCAATTCGCATGACATTGTTCATGGATGCATGACCTATGTGTCTGAGTTTTACACACACAAACACACGGACAGACCGAGACAGACAGACAGACAGACAGACAGACAGAGACAGACAGAGACAGACAGAGAGAGACAGAGA